AGCCGGGAGGGCTCCCCTGCCGGACACATCCAGGGCCCACCCTGGGACTGGTTTGGGAGCCGGCCCTCCGGCCTTCTCCCTCCCGCTGCGCCGCATCGCCGCCTTCCTCCGGACCCATGCTCCCTTGTGCAGCCGGACCCTTGATTCTGCAGGTTAACCGCGGTAGTTCCGACCGAGTCAGCCCAAGGCGCGCCTCTGTGACACGCGGGTTGTTCTGAGTTAGAGGCAACCAAGACTGCAGGCTCAGGAGAACACCACCACCACTCTCAGCCACAGGGAGGAGTTTGAAGTAGGGGGCCTCCCACAGGAAGAGGTTATCAGCGACAACCCTTTTCACCCATCCACGGGGCAAGGCAACTGCTAATTTCCCAGACATCCATTATCGCCCTGCAGTGGCCCGTGGAAGTCCCCAAGCTGTCTTACCTTCCCCCGCTCGAGGTGTCTATACACCACACTTCCACTTTCTGAACCTCTCATGTATGTGGGGGTCTCTGACTCTCTCATGTATATGGGTTTCCCATACATAAGTAATTAATTGGTCATTTTCTCCCCCTAATCTGTCTCATGTCTGTTTGATTATTACACCAGCCAAAAGAAACTTGAGGGTAGAGGAAAGTTTCTCCTCCCTCACACCTGCAATGCCCACTATAGACATCCCAACAGTTGCATTTATTGAGCTACTACTATGCACATTATCCAATTTAATCCTCACAAAATCCTTATAAGGCAGGAATTACAATCTCTCTTTAGAGATAAAGAAACTGAAGCATAGGTGCTGGGCTGGTGTGGCTCAGTGGTTGAGCTACTGACCTATGAACCAGGAAATCACGGTTGGATTCCTGGTCAGGGCACAGGCCTGGGTTGAGGGCTGGATCCCCAGTAGGGGGTGTGCAGGAGGCAGCCGATCAATGATTCTCTCTCGTCATTGATGTTTCTCTCCCTCTCCCTCTATGAAATCAATAAAAATATATTTAAAAAGAAACTGAATCGTGGGGTTAAGCAATGTACCCAAGGGGGCATGTCTAGTTGGTAGCAGAGCAGGGCTTGAACCCTAAAGGACTTGGGTACTTCTATGGGGCCTCTCAGAACCCTATTCCCAAACAACCGTTCCCTCCACTCTCTAGACAGGCTCTTCTTTCTCTCAAGATAACCTCGGGAAAGGAATTGGACTTTGGAACTAATCCAGTTCCACTTCCATCACCCCAGGTCCCGCATCTACCATGCCTGCCTTGCCCACTGTGACTCTCTCATCTTTGGATGAAATGGTTTTAGTGTGTTTGTCAATGGAAGGCCCCTCTGCTGGCCACATGGAGAAATGCGCCCAGGACGGAAAGAAGAGTGGAAGGAGGAGCCTGGGAGTCCACTTCCGCCCCAGGCCAGCAGGGAAGTGGGGCATAGGCACCTGAGACCAGGTAGTGCAGGTGTAGCTACTGGTCATAGTCCCTGCTGTTGCTTTTTAAAGAATTGATATTGTTTTAAAAGTATAAGACTATAACGCATATAACAAAATCAAGCAATATCAAAGTATGTTTTTAAAGTGTAATATTTATCTCTCCATCTCTCCCCTACTATATAGTGCCATTTTCTTTCTTTTAATTTTTAAAGGATTTTTAAATTGATTTTTAGAGATGTCCCCTACTGGAAATCAAACCAGCAACCCCTCTGTACCCAGGATGACAATGAACCCCGCCGGCCAGGGCTAGTGCAGTTTTCTTCTTAAATAAGAAGTGAGGATGGTATGCTGAAGGGATCAATGGTGGGGGGAACAAAGGGGACATATATAATACTTTCAACAATAAAGATTTTTAAAAAAAGAAGGGAGGCGTCCTCCCAAGCTGCAGAATGCCAAGGTCCTCTGCCCGTCCCTTTCCATGGGAACCCACGCACTTCCCTCCTCCCAGGCTCAGCTTGTTGCCTTCCTTCCCTAGAATTTGAATTCCCACCAAACCCCTTGTCTGTATCCTGTTTGGAAACAGCTTCCAACCAGGTGTCCCCCCAGCTTTGCTCTGGGACTTGCTCCCTCCTCCTAGTACAGGGCTGGAGGCCGGAGAGGCAGAAAGGCCCTTGCTGGTGGTTAAAATGCCTTCTTCTCCTTGGTCTCTTCTGCTCCGTGACCTCTGCCTCCACTCAGCAGCCCACCTCCCTGTGGACATGCCCTGGGCTCCATTTAAAAATGTCACCTTTCTGACCACAGCCTCCCCAAGCCTTGCTGGAGCCTTCGGGGCTCAAAGGCCTCCTATCCAGACTGGATCCCTTGACCCTTCTCCAGCGGCTCTAATTACCCTGTTCCTTGGCCCCAGATAATCCATGTCCTGTCAGGCCATGGCCATGCCAACCAGCGGTCCATCTTCTGCTTTTGCTCCAGGGGAGCTGGAGGGCACATGCTTGGGTTGTGGGCTCAGTCCCCACATGGGAGCCTGTGAGAGGCAGCTGATCAGTTTCTCTAGCATCACTGATGTTTCTATCTCCCACTCCCTTCCTTTTTGAAATCAATAAAAATATATTAAAAATGGAAAGCAAAAAAGTGATCAGATTTTTATATACATGTATGTATTTTTGTAACTGTAATCATGTTTGACTCCCTTATATGTTTCATATTTCCATTTTTTAATTCTATATGGAGAATGAGGCACTAATTTTTTAGGGATTAGAGCCCTTAAAACAGTGGTTCTCAAGCTTGGCTGCACATTAGAATCACCTAGGAATCTTTTTAAAATCCTGATTTCTGGGCCTCATCCTCCGGAAATTCTGTTTCTTACTATGTTGTGCCCCACCCCATAACAAAGAAACAATTTCTGGAGGAGTGCGCCCAGGAGTCAGGATTTTAAAAAGATTCCCAGGTGGTTCTAATGTGCAGCCACGGTTGAGAACCACTGCCTTAAAAGCATCTGGTTTTGGTTAGGAAGAAGGTCTCCAATGACTTGCCTTTGGGGTCTGAGACCTGTTCTATGCAGCCTCTTAGCCCACCAATTGCAGTTGTCAATCAAGTAGAACAAGGCAGCATTTAACAGGAACAAACATGAGGGCCTGCTGTTAGGTCCACAGTGACATCTACACACATACACAGTGAAGGAACGTGGATTGGGCAATAGCAAAACGTGTGGGGGAAAACCCCACAAAAAACCCTTGGGGGTCCCAGGGGACAGTGCTTCACAATGAATTGAGCACATGCCGTAACCACCAAAACCACAGGCGGAGGACGTGGGTCTGGGGAGGGAACCCCAGATCATATATGAGACATAACAGACACTGCGGGCACTGCTTAGCCCAAAGAAGCCTCCACTGGCCTGGTGGTGGAATAGGAATTACACTCAGTGGAGGGACAGGTGTGGAGGAAACGGTACAGGGTCCTAAAGCCTGGAAATGCAGTGGCTTTGCTTGTGGAAAAAATTTTTAAACTTTTGATTTTATAAAGGAAAGGAGAGAGTGATTTGTTGTCCCACTTATTCACGTGCTCATTGGCTGATTCTTATATGCGCCCAGACTGGGGATGGAATCCGAAACCTTGGAGTATCCTGATAAGACTCTAACCACTGACCACTGAGCATCCAAGGTTTGCTTGTGGAAATGTTTAATTCCTGTGTTCTCTCTTCCACATTGCCATTTCACAAAAGGGCTCTTGTAGAGGCCAAGTGGACATCAACACCGCTATAGCTTTAAAACTTTTGTTATCTTTTTAATATACTCTTACTGATTTCAGAGGGATAGAAACATCAATGGCTGCCTCCTGCACGCCCCCTACTGGGGATCGAGCCTGTAACTCAGGCAATGTGCCCCTGACTGAAATTGAACCCAGGACCCTGGTCTATCCACTGAGCAAAACCATCTAGGGCAGCAGTTCTCAATCCTTTGGGGGTCGAACGACCCTTTCACAGGGGTCGCTTAAGACCATCGGAAAACACATATATAATTACATATTGTTTTTGTGATTAATCACCATGCTTTAATTATGTTCAATCTGTAACAATGAAAATACATCCTGCATATCAGATATTTACATGATTCATAACAGTAGCAAAATTACAGTTATAAAGTAGCAACGAAAATAATTTTATGGTTGGGGGTCACCACAACATGAAGAACTGTATTCAAGGGTCGCGGCATTAGGAAGGTTGAGAACCACTGGTCTAGGGCAAGCTTTTAAGCTTTTATTTCTTGACTGAATTCCAGCAACAGCCATTACCAGAATCATCACTCTAGAACTTTTATTTTTTTTTAAATATATTTTATTGATTTTTTACAGAGAGGAGAGGAAGGGAGAGAGATAGCGAGTCAGAAACATCGATGAGAGAGAAACATCCATCAGCCACCTCCTGCACATCCCCGACTGGGGGTGTGCCCGCAACCCAAGTACATGCCCTTGACCGGAATCGAACCTGGGACACTTCAGTCCACAGGCCGACGCTCTATCCACTGAGCCAAACCGGTTTCGGCTAGAACTTTATTTTTTTTAATATATTTTTTTATTTCACATAGGAAGGGAGGATAGAAACAGCGATGAGAGAACCATTGATTGGATGCCTACCGCATGCCCCCCACTAAGGCTCGAGGCTACAACCCGGGCATAAAGCCCGACTGGGTTCATAGGTAGACCCTCAACCACTGAGCCACGCCTGCTGGGCATCTCTAGAACTTTATACGGTCCCTGCTGGTCCTGTCTTCCTCCCGTCTTGTCTGTTCACGGCTGTGGCGCTCTGTGCCAGACCATCACGTGCCTCTTTAGCTTCGTTTACAGACCTTGTTTCTCCCACCTGAAATGCCTTGTCCGCCCCTTTGTCTCAGTAGGACATAGGCTACTGAGAAGTGGCCGGACATGCCCAATGGTAGCTCTAATCATTTCCTCAATGCAGCCTTCCTCAATCCCTTGCCCAAATCCTGTCTACTCCGATTTTCAGCCTTTTAAATGAACCTTGACGGGGTTCTATCATTTCCCTTACCTAGAACTTTCCTTGCCTCTGTACTGCTAGCCCCTCTAGGGCAGGTCCTAGGTTTTATTCATCTTTGCATCCTTAGCACCTGTCACAGTGCCTGGACTACAGCAGGAACTCAGTGAATGGCTGATGGAATTAATGAAGATTTTTCTTCCCTATTCCCTTCTGCAACTGGCACAGCTTTTGTAATAAGAATTAAATCTGGTCTTTTTAAAAAGGCCCAACCCTGACTGGTTTGGCTCAGTAAATAGAGCGTCGGCCTGTGGACTGAAGTGTCCCAGGTTCGATTCCGGTCAAGGGCATGGACCTTGGTTGCGGGCACATCCCCAGCAGGGGGCGTGCAGGAGGCAGCTGATCGATGTCTCTCATTGATGTTTCTAACTCTCTATCCCGCTGCCTTCCTCTCTGTAAAATATCAATAAAATATATATTTTTAAAAGGCCCAGAAACCCTTGTTGGGCAGCTCCCTTCCCATCCAAGACTCCGGAGAATCCTTTCTCGGCCTCTCCAGAGCGCAGAGACCCTTAGAATGGACATAAGTTACTGAGAAGTGGCTGGACACGCCTAATTCTTATTTTGGAGGGGTCCAACCTCTGAGAACTTGATGAAAATCAGACCCTTTCCCCAGGAAAATGCACTCACACACACAATTTTTCACCTTAGTTCTGGACTCCAAATACCTACCAGTCTCTAGGCCTCCAAATCCACCCTCACTGCCAGCCTCCTCCCCAGCCCCAGCCCCGAGGTAAAGAACTGCCTACCCCAGAGGCACTCAGGAGGGGAGGGCCTGCCTGGCGCTGTATCTTCGTGGCTACCCCTCACCTGTTCTAGAGTGCTGCTATTATAAACTCGTGGCCGATGCCTGGGACCTCCAGGAGGGTAGATGCTGAGAAGAAAAGGACATTTCACAAAAGCAGGGGGAGGCAAGCTGGGAACAGAAAACCCAGCCACTAAAAGGGGAACAAGCCTTATTACTCAGCTCTTCTGGGTGGCTGTATCTCATTAGCTAGTTAACTGCACCAAACACGGGAAGACTAACAGCAGAAGCATTTATTACCAACACAAGCACTACACACACTGCCCCGCCCCGGCCCTGAGGATGACGCGGAAGTCCTTGGGTGGCAGGAGAATCGTTTGGAGGGAAGTGGCTCCTGGGACACGGCCTCGGCTGGGTGGTGAAAGGAAGGGCCACGGCAGGGACTAGATCCAGGTCATCCTTGGGCCCAAGAAACCCTAAGATGGGAGTGGGTGCCAGCTAAGGATTTCCCCGCTGCTCCAGCCTGTCCAGGAGCCATGCAAGGGCTGCCCCAAGGGGCACTGCCACCAGCCTGGCTCAAACCCAGCCCGGGCTAGGAATGTTGCTGCTCGACCGCCTTCAGACCACCTGGACTTCTGGTTCCCAGCTACTCCCTGAAGCTTCTCCATGATGCCCCGAGGGGGACTCAGGGGCTGGCGGAGGACTCTCCCGGGGCTTTGGACAGCACATAGTAGACAATCTCCTGGGCACTGGCCTGATTCACCACATGGATGACAGGACTGGAGGTGTCCTGAGAGGCTGAGAGGCTGTCCTCCCCACCTCGGCCCTCCTCTTCTGCCTCGTGCTGGGGCCCCGACTCCCCAGGTACTGTTTCTAGAATGATGCTCTGTAGGCTGCTCTCGTTCAGGGCCGCTCCCAGGTCCGAGCCTTCCTGTGGTTGCCGCAGCAGTTGCTGTGTCAGTTCCACACTTTCATAGCGAACCAGCTGCAGCCGCATGTAGCTGTCCTCATGCTCCTTGTACCTGGGGAAGCAGGAGTGCACAGGGCAGCAAGCACAGGCGGGGCCATAGAAATGGTGGGCGTGGCAAGTAAGGAACAAACTCAAGGTTTGTTGAGGCAGCCCTGGGATTCTAAGGGATGGAGTTGAAGACAGAGAGATTTTTATTAGGATATAAAAGCAAGAGGGAAGAATCATTACTCAAAATGGAAACTTTTATGTAGAAACCCAGAGGGTGGGGGTGAGGGAGGAAGGGGAAAAATGAGTATTAGTGGAGGGTGAGGTCAAGAAGCTACGGTTCTGGACCTTTAGGCTCTACTTCTATTTTGGCTGCAGGACTTTGAGCACCATTTATTGGGTTTGTCACTGTCTTGAATTCAAAAGTCAGAAAAATAATCTTTGCCCCACTCACGGCTATTCTTGGGGTTTCTTGAGCCTAAATAGGAATGGAGGGCATCAAAGCACTATCAAATTAAAAATTTTAATTTGAATATGGGAAAAAATGTGTGAATCTATGGGAAGGTTGAGACATACCGAAAACGGGGGTGCCCCGAGGGCCACTTGAACTGGTGCTTCTTGCGAAGATGTACGGTGAGGTTGTTACCCCTGGTGAAGCATTTGTCACACACGTGGCATTTGTACCTTGGCTCTGAGTAACCTTCATGCACTTTCCGGTAATGGGACTTGACGGAGCAGAGGGCTCGGGCGCTGAAGTTGCAGTTCTCAAAATCACACCTGTAGGCTGGCTCCTTGCTATGGGTATCCAGGTGCTTCCGGAGGTCAATCAGATTCTTGCAGCTGCCAGGAGAGGTCAGGAGGGTGGGAGGGCGTGAGGATTCTAGAACACCAGGTCTGTGATTTCCGGCCCCTAGTTCCCCTTACCTGTAGTCACAGCAGTCGCATTTAAAGGGCCGGTCCTCGCTGTGGCGAAAGCGCATGTGGTTGCGGAGGGAGGATGGCAGGGGACAGGTCATATCGCACAGAGGGCACTTGTAGTGGTTCACTGAGGAGCAGAGGAGGCTGTGATCTGAGGGCCAGGGGAACCTTGGGGGGTGGGCAGGGAGGCCGGTGGTGCCCAATTACTCACCATGGTTACGCATGTGGTCCCGCAACAGCCTCTCAGTGGCAAACCTCTTGGAGCAGTGAGAGCACTGGAAGCGTTGCTCTGGGGCAGGGCAGGAAAAGGAAGTTTCCAGCCACACAGCACCACGTGGTTGTCCTTGCCCACGGCTTTGTATTCACAGCACAGGCTATGCGCTTCCACGTTCCGGTAGAACCACTCGGGATTGTCGAAGGCGCTCTCACAGTGCTCTCCCACAGACAGGAAGTGGTCAGGGATATCAGGGATGATGTTGCGGCTGTGGAAGTCCAGGATGCAAGGGCTGAGGTCGGCCTGGCTCTGCAGAGCCTGCAGCCCCCACTGCTTCAGCTTCGTGTGGTAGAGCTGGAAGTAGACGTGGCGGACAAGGTCAGCAGAACTGTCCAGAGAACAAAAGCCACACTCCTGCCAGAAGCAGGAGAATTCTTCCTCCAGCAAGTCCTCCTCCTCTTCGTCCTCCTCCTCCCCCGAGCTGTGCAGGTGCTGGGTGACATGCTCGCAGAACTCCTCCATGGCTGAGCACACAAAGGAGCAGGACCCCTACTCACACTGTAGCCCCAGGTTCTCTTTTCGGGGAACTTTCCCAGGGGGCGGCATGGCCTCCACCCTAGTTTATTAGCACGTGCCAGGCACGGAGCTAAGAACTTTAACATGTTCTCATATAGCTTCAGAGCAACCCTCCTGGGAATGACTTAGTTCGGCAGGAGAGGGAAGGCTCGGATGCGTGACGACAGCT